AATCACCATTAAGTGAAAGCGGTTGACAAAATTGTCCTCGGCTCGAGCTGCAATCACCTGTATCCTGCATTGTTGTGTTAGCATGCTAATGTTAGCGCTCTTTAGTTAGCTCGTAGCTTCACATTGTTGTGTTAGCATGCTAATGTTAGCGCTCTTTAGTTAGCTCGTAGCTTCACATTTCATGTAAACTGACACAGAATGAGCGTGATCTAAAAACTCTTACTAACATCCAAATAATCAGTGAGTATGTTCTTCTTCTTCTCTCTAGTTCTTGACTAAAACAGCTTTTATACACAAGGGGAGGAGCCAGCCGTCCCGTCCATGTAAACACGGCTCTGACAACAACACAGCCAGCGGGACTCGAGCTTCTCCCTCATTGTAGACAGTCAGGACTCAGAGACACATTTACACAGGACAGACTTCATGATTTATTTATGTGGAACATGTTTCACATTCTGCCTTAAAGTCATCCTAACTTGAGGTAGGAAAACTTTAATTCAAAAGTTTCTTTGTTTCCTCAAATCTAAAATAAACTCTCTCACTTGGAGAATAACCATCTCGACTTTCACTTATCCACAAAGAAGTCATTCAACATCTGTTGATTGCAGTGAAAAAATAAGGAAGGCATGCAGGAAGCAACACATAAACATCAAGAAAATAACTCTGCAGCATTCATGGAAAGCTTTCAACTCTAAAGTATGACATGTGGGAGATGCTGTGAAACACTGGACCGGTCCTTGAAAGGCGCTCTACAGGTCTGCAACATATCGACTGTAATTCAAACATGCAATCCATTTTCTCCTCATCTCTTCATACAAAGCCGCTGTTTTAAGTTTGCCTCCCAGTCTGCCGTCTGCGTACACCATGACTCATCAGTTCATCCCTCAGTGGGAGAGTCAGAGGAGAGCTTCAAAGGAGAGTTGCCTCCATGCTCTAATGTCGGATCTGAGCAGGCAGCCAAGAAGAGTTGAGCTCTCTGCCTCCACTCGCGCTGCTGCAGGGGGAAAATATCTCCTCACTCTGAAAACACAAAGCTCGATCTCTGAAGCTTTTCAGGACTTCAGCCACTTAAAGTTGGAAGGCACAAAGTCTGTCAAAGAATAAATCACGGTAAAATACAGTACAGCTGCACATCGTATTATTGAAAAGACACCGTTACAAGCTGCCAATAAAGTGAATTAAAGCAGCACAGTAACACACGACACGCTCTACTGGCTGTTGCATACACACACACAATTTGAAACGTCCGTCCTCGGGCATACAAAGCACTTAATTCACATGTCTGATCTATTTTTAGCTCACAGGTTCAAACATTAAGCTTTAACAGTGTGTGTCAGCCAACGCCTTCATGATCTCGTCTTTTTATATCCTTTAAGTGGCAGGGTTTCTCTTTATCCAGACTCCAGGCTTTACTGTCCTGTGTTTGCACACTTTTAGTTGTGTGTATCTTTGGCAGACATCTTGTGGTGAGTGTGAGACTCTTATAGTGCGTTCACACCTGCAGAAAAACTTCCTGATGTTTCCATGCTGAGCTTCATGTGTGAACACAAACATGTGAATGTTTCTCTCTTCACTCAGAGTTTCTCCTCCAGCCTCCTCGTGTTTATTCTGCAGAAAGTCAGAGTGAGCTGATGTGAGAACGCAGCAGGATATAATCAGGAGAATTCACCTGGAGCCAGTGGGAGGTGCTCTAATGAACCTGCTGCTGCATGTTTTTTCTCCACTTTGTTCTTCTTCACTCTTTAGTTCACATTGAGATTCTCTCAAACATTGTCAATGCTGCAATAGTACTTATACATTCAAGAATTTCTGTACAAATTCCAGAAAAAATCTGTGTTTCTTAAATTCTATCTGAACTATTTTCCTGTGAGAAGATGAGTCATGAAACCCAGATGTTGCACTTGGACGTCTGGATCACACGAGGTCGCCGGGTAGTGAAAAGTAGGCCTTCTTAAAAACATCACAAACACGATGTTCATGGTGATGAATTTCCCCATCTCTGCTTTAAATCTCAAACTGTGGGAAAACTGACACGACATAAAATAAAACTCAAATCACAGCGCCGAGTTTCAAACGGGAGACGGGAACAACTCATTTGTAATAAATAGCAGAGACACAAACGAGTCCTGTCTGAAAAGTTTCCCCCCTTTCTGACGGAGCAGATTCAAGCTTTTTGACCTTTCTTTGCCACCGTAGTTTTACACTAAGTTTTCCCGACAGTGGAAGCGAATGTTGGTCTTCTCATGTTAACAGAGCACTGGATTATTGAACCCAGGTTATGACTCTGTGTGTGTATGTGTGTGTGTGTGTGTGTGTGTGTGTGTGTGTGTGTGTGTGTGTGTGCATGTGTGTGCGTCTCTCTCCACATTTGCGTCAGTTTAAAGTCGGCGGGTTTGGAAGAAACTCGAACCTGCCAGAGTTGCGTTTGTAACTGTCAAACATCCTCGCTCTGCAGGCCTGAGGTTTTCTTTTTTTTTTAAAAGAAAAGAGAAAATATCAC